GGACTCTGTCTCCTCTCCCCCTTCTCTTATGCATGTATGGGCATGTATGAGACTGTCTGTGTGTGAGTGGCGGTATAAATCGTCAAACAACCAAGATCATAACAGTTGGTATCGGAGTTGGGATTGGAATTGGAACACTGAGGGTTGAGCGCACTGAGGCATCTTCTTCATCTGGCGATCTACTGGCGAGAGTTGCATGGCGAATCATCTTCCCCAGTACTGAGTCAGCAGGGAAGAAGACTTTTTGCGGCGGATTCAAGTGTTCAGTTGTTGCACTGAGCAAGCGCACTGAGCCTGTCAGGGCGCTTGTCAGAAGGTGGCGAGTACAAGGCTAATTCGCCATAGCCAACCCTGAAGGTAGAGTTGCGAAGTACCCCAGAGTGGCGAATTACCCCTGAGGACATCAGGGAACCCTGAGCGGCATCATCCCTGGGTGGCGCTGGCAGAGACTCAGTATATCAATCTCCAGAAGAAATAACCCCATCTGGAGCTATTCTTAGGATCAGCGGCTACCACGCACTGTGGCGAGATAATTTGGTGTTGGCATACTGGCCGCCACAGGACCAGATCCAGTGTATCTGGGTTGAGGGACGCTACAGGATCTCGAGGAGGATCAACAAGTTTGGAGCAGTTATGTGAGTGGGACTATCAGGAGGAATATCTGGAAGATATTGGCGAGATAAAGATCATCATCTACCATAGCCAGATCTTCATCATCACCTGCAAGATTCTCTGAAAGTGAGTCCGTTCCATGCACCTACCTGTATAGCGATCCAGATAGTATTAAGTTCAGTTCATTATAATGGTCTATCTGTCTGTCAGTGACTGGATGTGCAAATCGCAGACTGCATGCCAGCCATAGCCATCTCTCCCCTACCTCTCTCTGCTCATTTTTCATCCTCTGTTGGCTCTTTCTGATCCAAAATTGTTATGTGACTGCCTTACTGCATTGCGATTATTCTGGGATACTCAAATTGTGAATTCTGCACTGGAAAGCGCTGAGTCTATTTATAGCCTGTGCTAACTAGGGTCAGTCATAACTTCAATTCTGTTCGTCAGAATTCCATCCTGTCAGTTCCCAGTGAATCGCAATCCAAAAATAGACAATACTGCAGAGTCGCAGAGTTGGATTTACAATATTTCACTGGATACAGTGAATACTGTACTTCGCCATACCCTAGGGTGGAGTCATCAGGGTCTAAATTGGAGTCCGAGTCAGGATATAGGGTGTCTGTCTGAATCGCTTGATTTGGTTGACCTCTCTTGTCTTTACTAACCATGTTCTATCATTCCCACTGATTACACTTGTTTTCTAGTGGGTACTGGAAATCTAGTGGGTCTTTGGAAGAGTAGTGGGGTGACTTTACTAACTCCAATTTGGTGCAGGGTCAGTAAAAGGAAATCGTGTGCATGATTTTGCTGGACTTACAGTCTGTCTGACTCTTGACCCCAGAGACGGCCTTCCAACCCAAACCGATGATTGCCTATACACCCATCTATTCCTGTGTCGAGATATTGCAACGATTCCAGGGCGTATGAAGGAATCTGAGTATTGCTACATACTCAGGTTGCTGTTTTTATTTTGATTTTATTTTGAAAAAGGAAAATGTCTGATCATCGGGCACAGCAGCAGCCACAGGTGGAAGTTGTGATGAAGGTGGAAGGTCAACAACCTTCAACCTCCACTCCTCCTTCTCCACCTCTGACTGCTACTCAGCAGGAAAAGAAGGAGATGCAAGAACAACTGCGGCGTCAACAGGAACACCTGGCAGAATTGGAACGTCAGGAGGCAGCTGAGCTAGAGGCTGCAACAGATAATTCCAGAAGGGACTATCTGTTGCAGCAGCTAGACAAGGTGCTTTCAGATGGCCGCTGTGCACAGGTGACTAAACACCTGGCAGAGACGATCATCCTGGAGCACAAGATCACCAGTTCTTATTTCACAAACTGGGATGACCGATTTGATCGATTGGAGCGTCGGGTTGACAGCCTGGCTGCTCAGCAGTCTAAGATTTTGGATGCGATTCAAAACTTGACTGCTCAGCTGTCAGCTGCCAAGCTGATTGCCCCTCAGCTCCCTTTGATAAAACCCAAACCTTCTCCTCCTTCTACCCCTCCTTCATCTCCCCCTGGATCAGTGCATTCTTCCCGGTCACCATCTCATTCCCAAAGAGCCTCAGGCAAAGCCACCTATGCTGTTGTTACTGCAGGAGATGAAAGAGGTCCCAAGATCCCTGCTCCCAACAAGTTCAGGGGCGATGACCCCAAGACCGATGTTGGGGACTGGGCTGCTGGGACCAAAGCCTCCTTGAGGGGCTTTGTCTGTGCGGAACAGACCAAGGTGGGGACTGTTTTGGGATTGCTGGAGGGACCCGCTCTGAAGTGGGCTACCTCAACCTCCAGCAGTCTGCAGCAGTCCATGGAGGATTGGGCTTTTGGGCTTGGGGTGGACAAACTTCTGCAGGCCCTGGAGGACCGATTTGCAGACAAGGAGCGGGCCCGCAAGGCTGTTGACAGGATTGCTCGCCTGGGACAGCAGCGATACAGCGGCACCTTGCAGGGTTTGCAGAATTCGAGCAACTAACCTCCACCCCTGGGTTGGTCATGTCAACTGATGATTTGCTGACCAACTTCTGCAGGGCAGCGCCTGAGAAGTTTGTCGTTGCTTTGTATAGCGCTGGGCACAAGGACTGGAGGTCCTTTGGCTGTGCAGCCCTGGACATGGAGGCAAAGCTTCATGTTCAGGCCCCATCCTCTGACAGGAGGAAAGGTGCCTTCCCTAGAGGTGGCAGAAAAGGAAAGGCAGCCTTCACTCATGCGGGGTCTGCATCAGGATCAGATTCAGATTCCCAGGCTGATGCACCTTCGGCTGGGACTGGATCTGCCCCTGAGACAAATGTTGCAGCAGCCCTGACTCAGGCTGTTTTGGGAGTTCTGCAGCAGCAAAAGAAATTTTCCCCCACCACATCCTCCGCCAGTGCCAAGGGGAAGGAAAAGGGACGTCGGCCTTCCTCTTCCCAGCGCCCTAACCTGCCCAAAGATATCTGCATGCCAGCTGACCCTCTCAATCCCTCCACACTCCCCTGGCATGACCTCAAGATCCAGGAGGGAGTCTGGAGAAGAAGGAAGGAGCGAGGGGTCTGCCTGAGATGTGAGGGACAGCATTTCCTAAGGGACTGCCCTTACGTGCCAGGCTCAAGTCAGTCAAAAAACTGAAACAGACCTTGGGGACTGCAGTTCCCCCCAGTGCTGCACCTTCAGCTACTCAGGTAGGTGAATCTGCAGCTGTTTCAGTTGAGACTGTGTGTGACAATGTTTGTTTGGGGACTGCGCGGGCAGCATCCTTCTATTATGAGGATCCTGACCCGGATCAGGACCCGGGGCAGGATGAGCTTCAGTCACTTGCAGCCTTCTTCCTTCACCTAAAGGAACAGAAAAAGTGCAAGTCTGATCTCATTGCTGAGCATCAAGGAAAAGGTCAAGGGTATCCTTGTGACCTTCTACAGTGTTGGAGAAGTCAGACATAGTCTGAACTTCTACATCTTCCCTGAGTTGCCCTTTGACTTGGTATTCTCTATGCAGTGGCTGAAGGCAGTCAACCCAAGGATCGACTGGCAGATCCCAAAGGTTGAGCTACCTAATAGCCAGGGTGTGTATCAGCCATGCATGATTGCTGCTGATCATCACCCTAAGACCTCTTGCTACTGCCTGAGAGCGAGGGAGTTTTCTTCTCTCTCACGCCAGTACGACCACGAGCGTCTGTTTATTGCTCTGGTCAAGCAAACAGATGCTCCCCCTGTTTCCTGTCCTCCTGAGATACAGCAGGTGGTGGACAAGTACGCTGATTTGATGCAGGAACCCTTTGGGTTACCCAACCGGTCAACCAAGCATCATATCGAGCTGCTGCCTGGAGCGGTCCCTCCCAAGGGCCGCATCTACATGATGTCCCCTGCTGAGCTTGAGGAGCTCAGAAAGCAGCTTGAGACCCTGACCAGCAAGGGCTGGATCATACCCAGCACTTCTGAATTCGGTGCACCTGTTCTCTTTGTGCCCAAAGGGAACGGCGAGTTTATAATGTGCATTGACTACAGGGGTCTCAATAAGATCACTAGGAAGAGTACTGAGCCACTTCCTAGGATCGATGACCTCCTGGACATGGTGCAGGGCAGCACAGTGTTCAACAAAGTCGACCTCAAATCTGGCTACCACTAGATTGAGATGGTTGAGAAGGATGTCTATAAGCCTGCCTTCAAGACCAGGTATGGTACTTACGAGTTCCTGGTCATGCCATTCGGACTTTGCAATGCCCCAGGCACCTTCCAGATAGAGATGCGCCGCATGATCAGGCCTTACCTGGACAAGTTCATGGTTGTCTACCTGGATGATATCCTGGTATTCAGCCAGACTGCTAGGGAACATGCGGAGCACTTGGCTCTTGTCCTTCAGTCGTTACGTGACAGCCAGTACAAGATCAACAGAGAGAAATCCTCTTTTGGAGTTCCCTCTGTTATCTATCTGGGTCATGTAATCTCTGGAGATGGCCTGGATCCTAAAGCAGCCAAGATTGTTGCTATTCAGGAGTGGCCTCAACCACATACAGTGAGGGATGTCAGGTCCTTCATGGGTCTAGCCTCATACTACAGAAAGTTTGTCAGGAACGTTTCGACAGTGGTTGCACCCCTGAACAACCTAACAAAGAAAAATACTCCCTTTCTTTGGTCCCTTCCCTGTCAGTTGGCCTTCACACGACTCAAGAAGGCCTTGACTCGTGCGCCCGTGCTGAAGTTACCTGAGCCCACTTTGCCATTCATCCTGACCACTGACGCCAGTCAGTATGGCATTGGGGCAGTTCTCCAGCAAGATGATGGGAATGGTCTACGGCCTGTAGAGTTTATGAGTAAGAAGATCAAGACTCAAAAGCTCCAGGACTCTACCTACGAGAAAGAGCTATATGCTCTTGTCTGTGCCCTGAAACATTGGAACTGAAGCACAAGAAGGGCTGCTACAACAAAGTAGCAGATGCCCTCTCTCGTAGGCCTGACTCTTTTGCGTTGATCTCCTCTACTCACTCCTTTGGAGAGGAGACCCGTCAGACCATTGCTCGTCTACTGCCTCAGGACCCGACTTTCGGACCCATAGTCAGGAATCAGCAAGCAAATCCTAACTCTGAACCAAGCTATGCTCTGAGTTCAGACCTACTGTATACGTACAGTAGAGGTGAGGAGCGTTTGGGCATTCCCCAGGACCAACAGCTCAGGACACTACTGATGTCAGAGTGTCATGATGCCCGTGGACATTTTGGGTGCCTAAAGTCATATGCAGCCCTGTCGCAGCGCTTCTTCTGGAAGGAGATGCGGAGTGATATGCTGCGTTATGTGGACACCTGTGAGCTCTGCCAAAGGAATAAGGTCCATCGTAGACCTCCTTTGGGACTGCTCAAACCCTTACCCATACCTGATGGCCTTGCTGAATCTGTGGAGATAGACTTCACAGATTTAGGCAAGACCACCCCTCGTGGCATGCGTCAGGTTATAGTCTGCGTGGACAGGTTCTCCAAATACGCAGAGTTCATCCCCTTGCCAGAGGTAGCTAGGGTTCCGGCTGTGAGAGCAGCCTTTTCTGAGAGGTGGGTCACTCACCATGGACCGCCCACTTCTATAGTCAGTGACAGAGACCCAAGTTTTTGCAACGATGAGTGTCAGTCCTATTGTAAGGATTACCTGCACTCGCGATTGGACATGACTTCTGGTGATCATCCTGAAGCCAATGGCCAGGCTGAGGTGATGAACCAAGTCCTATTCCAATTGCTGCGTCCTGTCATCTCTCCAGATCAGCAGGACTGGGATCTTCACTTGGCTAGGGCACAACTCATGTACAACATGTCTGTTCACTCCTCGACAGGGTTCAGCCCCTACCGGTTACACTGGGGACATGAACCACGACAGCCTCTCGATGACATCATCGATAAGGCTAAGCCTGATCTAACACCAGGCACAACAAAGTTCACCAGATGCTATCGTCTAGATGTGGAAAGAGCCCGCGCGAACTTGTTCAAAGCCCAAAAGGCTATGGTTGAACAAGCGAATCGCCATAGGTGGCCTTCCCCCATCCGCACTGGTGACTATGTCTGGGTGGCCAGTTCTGAGTTGTCGAGGGAGGAGGATATCTCCCCCAAGCTGTTGCCACGTTACCTGGGTCCATGGCAGGTCCTAGATAGAGTGGGCGCTGATCCCTTCGGTCCGTCATACGTTATCGACGTCCCGCTGCATCTACGTACCTACCCGGTCTTTCATGCATCCAAGTTGTTACCTTTTACTCGAGCTGATGCATTCCCAGACTGGCCCCCTCAGTTTGGTCCACCGATCCTTGGCAAGGGATATGACATGGAATGGATTGAGGATGAGTGGCGCACCGGCCCCGACCGACAGTATCTTGTGAGGTTCGCATTCCAACCTCCTTCTGAGAACAGATGGTTCTACAGAAGGGAACTTCTCAAGACAGCAAAGTCAGTTGTCCTGCGATATGAAGCGTCTCAGAAGGGAAACCTTCCTCGCCATTCACCTCGCCTACACCCCTAGCTCGGAGGTCCTCGCTCCCGGGGAGGGTGAGCCTGCAATGACTTCCTGATTTCTACTGCCGAGACTGACTGCGAGGCTGTATAGTACAGCAGTGGGTTAGATTAGCAATTTTGTTTGGCTGAGGGCTAACCGAGAGACCTCCCTGTAAGGAAATTCGTGAGGGACATATCTGCAAATCTAGGAAAATATAGGCCCAATACTAACTCGAATTCCTACAGCTACCCTAACTGCGTATAACAGGTCCGGGCTACCCCTAGGACAGACAGGCCCTAAGTGGCCTATGCTGATAGACGGTCCTATAGCCTATAGCCGGATCCGGTAGAGGCCGAGAGGCCGAAACAGCAACGGTACCGGTCGGTCAGTCAGTCCGGTCTAGGTCTAGTGTAGTCTATAGATAGGTGAGGCCCATCGCTTCAGGACTTTGGGGCAG